TTGTGATGCAACAATAAATAATGAATTTACCTCCTAAACAGCCTCTGGCCTCTGCACTTCCACTATTATCCCCCTCCCCCTACATTACATACACCACTAGCAGCCAGGATGAATAATCTTTTCAAAAAAGTAGCCAAGCACATTACTCTTTTGCTTCACAACTTTCTGAGGTTTCATCTCCCTCAGAAAAAAAAACCCAGAGTGTTTACCATTGGTTGCAAGGTCCTGTATGAGCTGGCACTGGCCACCTTGCTGACCTCATCTCCTACCTTTCACCTTATCCACTCTGTTCCAATGACCTTCCTTCTGGTTCCTGAAAACATCAGACTAGTTTTCTGGTATCACAGAACTTTTACATTAGTTGTTCCCTCTGCTTGGAATGCCCTTTCCCCAAATCTTTAAATGTCCGGTTCCTTTTTATTTTTCAAGTCTTCACTTTGAAAAGATTTCCTGTGACCCCGATCTAAAATAACCCCCTCACTGATCTGTTATATTTTTTTCACAGTACTCATTACTACTTATTTGTAACAATTTATAGTCTTCCCCCACCTCAGCTACTAGAATATAAGCTCCATGCTTGCCCATCTTTCTAAAGGCTGATACCCACTGCCTTTAACAATATTTCTTTCAATAAGAATACAATGAATGAATGAATGAATTAGTTGTTTCTTAACTTGGAAATGGAGATGTTGTTAGTACCTGTGGAACATGTAAACTTGTGTCTAAACAGGGAAACTATCAATAAACTATTTCAAGGGTAAAAAGTGGTACGTAGCACTTCTATTGCTCTCGGCCATGACTGCTCTACGAACAGGGTAAGGTGAGGAGAATAACTATAACAGGGCAGGAAAATGACACGCTGGGAACTATACTAACTAGGGTTCTCTTCTTCCATGCTCACTTGCAAAAAGTCATAACCCATTGGAACAATAATTCCTCTAGGTTATTCAGAAAAAATAACTTAGAATATACTTTATAGGAAAAGCACATGAAAAGACATTACATTAAATATTAATCCATTAGTACATTAAATGTTTTGTAAGTACAGAAGGTTCCTGGGAATTTTTAATGCTTAATTAGTCTCTAAAAATAAAAGGGCATTGGAGAATGCTGAAGGAAAGGACCAAGGTTAAATCAAGGAAGTGTCCAAGAACACCATCCCATCATCATAGTACATGCAACTAAACAACCGTCTCAAGTCTAGTTCTGCCCTATTTGCATGGTTGGTTTTAACTTCAGTAACTCAGGCTGGGAAGGCAAACTTAATTTCTTCCTGTTTGAATAGGTATGGGTAGAAAGTGCTTTTTAAACAACCCATGCTCTTTCTTTCTGATTTTTTTATTTGAAGCTCAAAGACCAATAATCTACAGCCAGCATCAGATGTCCTCTGGTGCAGCTGAACAGGTGATAAGCAAGCCTGCACTTCCCTGGGACAGCAAAAAAAGAACAAAAGATTAAACTGTTTTTGAGCTAATATCTCTGACAATTCTGCCTTTATTTCTTAATCCTAGAGCCCCTGGAAGACCCCTGCTAAGAAAGTAGTAATCTATCCTCTAAGCTGTCTAATTCTTGTCCTCCCCTTGCTTCACCTGTCTGATGACTACTAGCAGGAAGGCTGAGTTAGATTCTAAGCACTGACAGTGAAATCTCTTAGTGAGGAAAGGGTTTAGGGAGTCTGTTTGCCTTCAAATGACTAGAGATGCAAACACATACATTATGTTACAATCTTGTCTTCAACTCATCTTTAATTTTCTCCTGGAAAATACCCTCTTTAAGGTGACACTGGCTTCAGCTCAGAAGTTCAAGTGTCTGTATTTGACTGAAAAAACACTAAATTGTTTTGCCCTCAATATCCCCTCTCTCACATGTATCTTTTCTGGTTATATTCAAACATCATCATGAAACAGAGCCTAAAGTTGCCTTGAAGCTATGGTAACTAACAAGGCCACTGAGCTTCTAGAAGGACCCACACCAACCATGTTGCTGGAAGGATAGTGTCTTTTCCCTTTAAAGATCTGATTTTCATAAAAGAAGAGAATTGGAGGCTACAGATACAACAAATGCTTTGGAAAATAGGACTAGTTTGAAAATGATGACCTGGTACATTAACATTTATTAATTATACTTATTAACCATAAGAATGGACACTCTAATGGAGACAACATCATAAGAAAACAGAACTCAAATGTTCCAGATCAACAGGGTAATCTCTTTAAGAAGAAGCCACATTCACACAATAAAGTTCTCCATACTTTGTGTAAGCTGACAATGGAATTAAAAATATACTTTGTTCTTTTCTCCACATTTCCATTCAATGTTTGGTGTTTTCCTCCTTTCTCCCCTCCTCCCTCACTCCCCTTGGTTCATCTTCCAATCCCAGAAAGCACACTATTAATTCTCTTGCTTACACTCTAACCTAGTATTATGGTAAAATGGAGACCTTCGGTAACTGGGACATGTGTAGGCTTCACTGAAGGCCTATCTTAAAATTCTGCCATGTTTCATTGTCGGTTCTGTTTTACATTCAGTGAGTTGGTCCTATCATTCTATTTGAAAATTTCAATGCTAAACGTCAAAGAATGGAAACCTTTAGTGAAATAGAAGCAACCAACCTGAAAACACACTGGGTCTACTATTGGCAAAAATAAAATGCAACCTAGCCCTCTACACCTGGAGAAAAGATGGCTTTTAAATCAAACAAACAAGTAAATACCTGATACAGTAATGGCGTTTTATTCATGCACACATCTGTTGTTACATCTGAATCTAATACTTAAATAATCAAAGTGACCTAAACAGAGTTAAGAGGCAGACAAAGAGGGCGGAAGAGGAAGGACGGCCAGGTCAGCAAGAACACTGAGTGCAGATCAGTGTTCCGCAGCTGGGGGTGGGGCGTGCTGGTGACTGGAGCTGGCTCAGCACACTCTTCCTCTGTGGATTAAAAGCAGGGGCGGTGGAAAGGCATCAGTTTGTAGATGTGTATTTACTAACAGAGGAGTCTGTTGATAACACATTTTTAAGCATGAAAAAAGGGCAAAGAACAGTATGTACAATGATCCCATTTTCTAAAATGAAACAAAGGAATACAACAAAAAACAAAGATACGTGTGTGTTGTCATATGCATAGGAGAAGGTCTGAAAAACACACACACTGAATTATTCAAGGTCATTTCCAGACTAGGGTGGGGTGAGTGGGGCAGCTGGGAGAGAGTGGATTTTGACTTTATACACTTCGAAAACCAAAACCAGTTGCCGTCAAGTGGATCCCAACTCCTGGAGGCCCCGTGTGCATCTGTGGAGAACTCTGCTCCACAGGGTTTCCAATGGCTGATTCTGAGGAAGCTGGTCACCAGGTCCTTCTTCTAAGCTGCCTCTGGGTGGACTTGAACCACCAACCCTTCAGCAGCTGATGCATGTTAACCATTTGTACCACTCAGGGACCCCTTTAAATGCTTCCTAGAAGAATATAAAGGAAGAAAGGAAAGGAAGGAGCTAAGAGTGAGCAGAGGGCAGGCATCATCTTGGACTGGCAGCGATGGCCATAGTGACAACAGCTGTGCCTGTGGCCTCACAGCCCAGTGTCTCTGCTGTCACCTCGCTCCCACCACCCATCTCTCTTACTAACTTATTCTAAGAGAAAGAGAGAAAAGTTGTTAAATTCCTACTTCTCTTCACAAATTCTAGACCTCCTCCTGCTTTTTGTGTGCCTACTTGGCCAGGAGCTGATGGGGCAGGTCTCAAGTGGTTCCAGGTAAGGCAGGTATTCCAGGAAAATCCCCCATGTCATACCCTAACTCTGACGAGGGAACCTCAGTCTCTCCATCACAGGGCACGGGGAATTCAGGGTAAGAAAAACTTCAAGAACCAAATCAATATGACAGTTTAAATAAGAGCTTTATATAAAAGTTAGAACTGGAAACAGAATATAAATCCATTGTGTCTTCCTTTCTTTTCCTTCTTTCTTCCTCCCTCCCTCCCTTCCTTCTCTCCTTTCTTTCTTTTTTGGTCAGAAAAAGGTGCATTTGAAAACAAAAGAATATTCTGGCATTAGTTTCATGAAAGAGTCCCTGAATTGTTTTTCATCAAATGCCTTTAAAAAGGAAGCACAGGTAACCAGAGTGGCAGATTCCTTAGCTACTCACCTGTCATTTCTGTATAGCCCCACCTAAAACCCTTCGAAATCCAAAAGGAATTTGCTCAGCTCTGAGTGGTAGCTGCAGGTTGCTTTTAATTTGGGCTCCAGTAAGCCACAGCTGGAAGTTCAACACCAAATGCAAAGAACCATGTGGAGTGGGTCAGAACCAAGGTGGGGTTGGGAGGAGAGCAAGGCAGCATAATGATGTCCGCCAGATGTGGTCCACAATCATGACGCCACAGCACGGTCAGGGGTCAGAGAACTTGCCAACAAGCCCCGAACAGCAGTCCCTTAGAGGGAAGGGAAAATGAACCTGGGATAGAGAGAAACTAAACAGCTAAGTTTCCCTGGAGAATAAAAGCAGAAGCATGAGGCTTTTAAGATGACAGATTTGTTCCTTTGTTGTTTTTACTGGGAGAGAGAGATTTGCAATATGGGACTCACTGGCATAGACTGAACTCCTGCAACTTAGCAGGGGAGTCAGGGCTTGTCTTCAAGACAAGCAGCATTTCAAAGACCTGCCACCTTAGTGGACCTGATGCTAGAAGTCACATCAATTCACCCAAGAGTTAGAAAAATCTCCATGCAAACACCAATTTGACCCCCACAGGTTTTGTTTTGTTTTGTTTTAAGGTACGTACAATTTGGTAAGAGCAGAGGGCAGAGGAGGTGAGACAGAATACTTCAGGAAAAGGGGTAAGGTGAGACCCTCAAGAGATAGGTATGAGCTTCCTGCCCCTCAAGGGACAGAACAGAGCAAAGTGAGGGTTAAAGCACACAGTGTGTGAATGTGTGCACACGTGTGTGTGGGTGTGTGTGTGTGGGTTGGTTGTGGGGGTGGTGCTTGGCAGGGAAAGCATCTCACCATTTCTCTTCCTTGCCTCCTCCTTTGACACTTTCTGCTGTGCCATTACATTCTGGGGCGAGCGCCTCCCTGAGCTGGGCTTCCCTGATTCGTTGCTGATGACAGAGCCATTCTCACTGGGAGACCTGCTGGAGGTAACCATAGCAACAGGGGAGACAGTAAGTTTCAACTGGAGCAGCCTCCTCTCAAGGTTATTTTATTTGCACAGTTTATGTCTGTAGCCTTTCATTCCAGTTTCATCCACAAAGAAGAAATGACACGGAGGAAGGAAGAAGAAGAAAAAAAAAAGACAACAACACACAGTACAGCATGGGTTAAGCATCTGGTTGTTCCAAAGCGCATTAACTGGTGTTGAGCTCTGTAGAGAAGTTCAGTGAGCACAGCCCTCAGTTCCCGTATCTTTTAATTAACTCTCAGTGACTATGGAAACGATGGTGAGGACTGTTTTTGTAGCACGGCCTCTTTTTTAAACACAGGGCTTTGGATAGTGTTGCAGAATTTCTGAATTACATAGGCATCTTCAGGGACATTCTTAAAATATGGTTTTTGTGTGCTACTTTCTTTATCACATATACCTTGATTACTAAAGATAGTAGTCCAGTTTTCACCTGTCAGTTCTTCATTCCGTCTCTGAGAGAACACTCCATGAGCAGGTGTGTGCACATACACACACACACACACATTCTTCAACTTGGCAGCCAATGTGGTAACCACTTATATTTTGAAACTACCGATTTGAGCCAATCATTCCATCAGAAATACTTTTTAGGCACCTATTCTGTATCAGGTGTTACCTGGCACATACTGGCACATACAGATGCTAAGACAGCACCCCATGTTCTTCAAGAGCTCCCCATCAGGAGAACCTACTATGTGTCAAGGACTGTGCTGAGTGCTTTCAAAAGAGTAATAAAGCATTAAAATGATAGTCTGACTCGGTGATTGTCACCCTTGTTTAGCAAGTGAGAAATGTGAACTGCGAGATGGTGGTTTGTCCAGGGCAGTGTTGGGAAGTGGCAAATTAGTCCTGGAAGCCAGGATGCCCAGGTAGGGGCTCTCCCCACAGCCAGAGCTGCCTCCCTTTACTGTCTCTCCTGGTGGTTCAAACCCACCAGCCACTCCTTGGAAGGAAGGTTGGGCAATCTACTTCCATAGTGATACCACCTTGGAAACCCAAGGAGGGGTCACTATGAATTGGTCCAATTTGATGGCAATGAGAATGAGACAATGATTAGGAGCTTTGGTGGTGTAGTGCCTAAGGCATTTGACTGCTAACCAGAAGGCTAGTGGTTCAAACCCACCAGCCACTCCTTGGAAGGAAGACTGGGCAATCTACTTTCTTAGAGACACTGCCTTGGAAACCCAAGGAGGGGTCACTATGAGTTGGAATCTAATGGCAATGAGTTTGGCTATTTTTTTAAATAATAATTGCAGATGGTAGGCTTTCACACTGGGTGAGCCATAGGGCCTTCTCTCCTTCCCTCAGGGCAGGAGTTCTCTTCCTGAAGTCTGTGAGAAAATGAACCCCTGCTAAGCTTCCTGGTTGGTGCCTCACACCTCAGATCCTGCCAGCCTGCAGGTAGGCTGAGCAGGCCTTCCCCTCTGTGAGAGACAATCAGGAGACAGATATCCAAGGCCTTATCAAACCTCTTGTTTTTCTATTGTTCAGATTCAGAAAATAATGGCATAGGGCCCCTACAATGGAAAACTGACTGGAATAAAATATACTCGACCAGGAAGCAAGCTGCTTCTTATGTGGAAGCTGTGTATCCTTGCAGATCTTCCTCTTCCTTCTCCTGCCCACCCCCCTTCATCCTCTGGGAATTTAGAATTCTCAGTTCTGTGCACTTTAGTGCACTTTAGCACCCTAAAGGCCACGAACAATGAAAACACCCATTCACATCCATGGAATAAGGCCCCATCTGCCAAGGGTGTTCCATGGAACACTAGGGCCAAGTGAGACATTCCTCACTCCACCCCAGCTCTGCCCCACCCCAAAGTTCCACAGACAAGTTTATTCATTATATTCCTTCATTGCAGATTGCTAATGCCCATTAAATTATCAAAGGCTCTGATCAATTCTGTCATAAAGAGATACATCTAATTTTGTTTAATCCAGCATTTCCCAGTTTATTAGGCCACAAACCCCTTTCACTATAACACTTTTTTGGCATCTCTGGGAGGTGCAAATGGTTAGTGTTCAGCTGCTAGCTGAAAGGCTGGTATTCAAATCTACCCAGAGGGGCCTTGGAAGAAAGTCCTGGTAATCTACTTCTGAAAAATCAGCCATATGAAATCCTACACAGCACAGTTCTCTTCTGACATTCAGGGGGTCTCCAAGAGTCAAAAGTGACTCGACAACAACGTTTCAGTAGTATCCCATAAAACTAGCTTCTGATGGTGGGACCCCTGAGACTATGGCTCCTAGCTGCCCATCAGTCTGAAATTAAACCCACTCCTGTGGCTTCCAGCCAAACAAAAGATAGGCATATGAGCTGAACGTGTATAGTAGGTAGATATGCTCCTTGGAGAGAACAATCATGGAAGAATAGAAGGGCTGTGTATGCACAGGGAGACAGCTCAGGGGGCAGGAGTGCATGGGAGGGAAGGACATAGGGAAGAGGGGAGAAAGTGGGAAGAGAGCTGTTGCATTGTGGGAAATTAGAGTCAATGTCATGAGACAAAGTGCATGTATGTATGCAAAATGATTTGCTCTGTAAACTTCCACCCAAATCACAATAATTTTTTTAAAAAAAGTATATTTATACAGCTTATAGTCCATGATTATTATTAATTTTTAGCAAAATTTTATTTGTTATATGCTTTGATGATGACAGTAGACTGTATATATTTTTTTTAATAACATATTTTGTGGCAAAATTAGAACTAAAACTTAAAATGTGAAAAAAACAACAAAACTCTAGCTTTCTAATTTGTCCTAATGCTTCTACTTTGCTTCTCTACAGTCCATTTCCACACAGCAGCCAGAGTAAGCCGTTAAAACTACCAGTCAGATCATGTGATTCCTCTTTTGAAACCTCTAACAACTTGATGGCACATAACAACAACAACAACTTCTGACCTTCATTCACAATAAAATTCCAAGTCCTGATGGGAAGTAAAGCCTGATAAGATCTGACTCCTGGCTACTCCTCTCACTCATCCCTAGCACTCCCCACTAATTCATGCCAGCCTCCTTGGCCTTCTTGCTCTTCTAGAAGCATGTCAAGAAGTTCCCTCCTCTGGACTTTGCATATATTGTTCTATTGTTCTGTCTGCTTAAGTGCTCTTCCTTCAGATAGTCTCATGGCTTACACTTCATTTCAACTGGGTCTTTCTCACTTCATCAGAGAGGCCTTTCATGACTTCCTATCTAATATAACAACATGCCCCTGTCTCCATCTCTCTATCCTCTTACTGTACTTTGGTCTTCTTCTTTATACTTATCACCCCCTAAACTACTAGGTATCTATTTCTCTATTTGTTTATTGTCTATTTCTCCCCATAAGATTGTACACTCTATACAGCAGAACACTGTTTTACTCATTCAATATCCCTGTTGTTATGTGTCGTCAAGTCGGACCCGACTCATAGCGACCCCTCCTTGGGTTTCCGAGGCAGTATCACTACGGAAGTAGATTGCCCCATCTTCCTTCCGAGGAGTAGCTGGTGGGTATCCCTACTGCCTGGTAAATAGCTGACAATCAAAAAATATCTGTTAGGTGAAAGGAGAGGAAAGGTGAAGGAGGAAGAAAGAGAAGAGTAGCTCTTCCAGCCTCCAGGTGGTCGCAGGCAAGGGAGAAGGTTAAGCCAACTAGGCCTGCTATTAGGTTCATTATTTCACTATAGGGCAAAATGAATTTTCATAATGAAAATATGCCTCTTGGTTTTTTGTTACCCCATTAACAGAAAATAATGAAAATTCATAATGAATTTTCTGGCCTTTAACCTAACTTCTCCCATCTATAATCTACAATGCTACTGGAGTTGTTGTTGTTAGGTGCTGTCGAGTAGATTCTGACTCATAGTGACCCCATGTGACAGAGTAGAACTGCTCCATAGGGTTTCCTAGGCTGTAATCATCACAAGAGTAGATCACCAATTTTTTTTCCTGTGGAGCTGCTAGGTAAGTTCAAACCTTCAACCTTTTAGTTTGTAGGAAAGCACTTAACTCTTGTACCACTAGAGTAAACCAAAACCCACTGTCCTCAAGTTGATTCCAACTCATAGTAACTCCAATTGGGTTTCCAAGATGGTAAATCTTTATGGAAGTAGATTGCCCCGTCTTCCTTCCATGGAGCAGCTGGTGGGTTTCAATCACCAACCATCTGGTTAGCAGATGCCTCGGCACTGTGCCACCAGCTAGAGTAGTTTTTCTAAAACACACACTGGACATCGATGTCTTCCCGAAGAAATTTCAGTGACTTCTCATTGCTTAGAAAATAAAGCTCAAACTCCTTAGCCTGGTAGTCAAGACCCCCTATAATCTTAACTTATTTCCTAGTTTTATCCTTCATGACATCCCAATCATTATGAACTCTAAACTCCAGGACATTTATTTACCAGTTAAGTCAATGTTCCTGTCCCTTTCCTCTCCTAGCTCTCTCAGACAGGTGTGACTTTATCTCTCTCCACCTACTGACATCCTATCATCCTTCCTCCTTGAAGTCTTCCCTGGTCAAAATTAAGTTCTCCCTTTTCCATAGCACTTGGTTCAGATTCCTAAGTGGGCACCAAAGGTCATGTTTGATATTCCGATTATTTCTATTTCTGTCTCTTCCATCATGAGATTCTTGGGGCTGGGAATCAAGCTTATTAATCTTTTTCTTTTCTATTTTTTATTGTGGCAAAAATTTAGATAGCAAAATATTTGCCAGTTCAACAGTTATTACATGCTTAATTCAGTGACATTGATTACATCATCATGTTGTACACTTATTACTATCATCCTTTCCCAAATTATTCTACTATTAACAGAAATTTGGTGCCCTCTAAGGCTTATTAAGTTTTGCAGCCCTCCCAATGTCTGTCACAGTGCTTTGTTCATTGTAAAAACTCAATAAATGGTTTTTGAGCTGAAATAATATACTCTACTGAGAAACTGGAAGCCCTGGTGCCACAGTGGTTAAACATTTGGCTGCTAACCAAAAGGCCAGTGGTTCAAACCCAAACCCACCACCCCAAACCCACAGAGAAAGATGTGGCAGTCTGCTCCGTAAAGATTATAACCTTGGAAATCTTATGGGGCAGTTATACTTTGTTTTATATAGGGTCACTATGAGTCAGAATTGACTTGATGCCAACAGGTTTTTACTGAGAAACTGTCATATAAAATACAACTATGCTGCATCAAAGGCACTGCTTTTGAGATAAATAAAAATATATAAGTGTGACATCAATGCCAAATTTTTTATATGCCTACTCCTCACTTACCAACTATCTCGTTATCTGACATTTTGCATTTACAACAATAGAAAAAAAATCTACTATTTTGTGCATTAACAACATGTATCTGGCAGTAATGAATGCCAAGGTGCAAGGTGAGACTAACACTGGCTGTGATGGTTAAGGTTATGAGTCAACATGGCTAAGCCATGATGCTTTGTGGTTTGGCAGTTATATAATGATGCAATTAGGCAGTTATGTGATGATGTAGTCATCCTCCATTTTGTGATCTGATGTGGTCATCCCCCATTTTTGCATAACACTGATTTTCACATAACAACCTGGTCTTTAGAACTTCACCATGTTGATAAGTGAGGAGTGTATAATAAATGTAAGAGCTAGATCTCTGCCACACCAAGTATGGCTTATGTGAAGCAAGTACTATGATTCTCATCCTCTCCCTTACTCTCCTTCTCAAATATTCAAAATGAGCATGTGAAAGGGAATTTCTAAAGAGAACAGCAGAATTAACCAGGACTCCCAACCAGTTCATTCCAATTCGAGCCCCTCCTGAGAACCTGCATTTCCACCCCATGTACTGAATCAGAATCTACATTTTAACAAGATCTCCAGGTGATTCTTACAGATCCCCAGGGGATCTTAAAGAATTATGTATCTTATTGAAATGCAGATCCTGTTTCAGTCTATCTGGGGTAGTATGCAAATTCTCAGCAGGGGGTTGAACTGGAATGAACCGGCTGGAAACCTTGGAATTAACCTGAAGCCTTCAGCTGCTCTCATCATCAATCATTTCTCTATTGATATGAAGAGGCAGCAGTTGGCCCTGTCCTACCTCTTTCTGGTCTCCGTGGACTTGGCGGTCTTGATGGTGCTTCCATCCTGGGCAACATCTCTTTCCTGAGAGGCAGGAGCATCTCTAATAGGGAGGGGGAGGACCACCGTTTCCTGAGTCACAGGGATGACCTCCTCATCGGCCCCTTGCTGGCCCAGGTGCTGCTTGGCATAATCGAAGCCTTGCACTGGCTGCAAAGAGGAAACCAATTTGCAATCAAATTTCTAGCAAAGTGTGACTCTAATGACGGCTTTAAGAGAAGACAGGTATGAAAGTGCATGTAACGGGACTATATTTAATTTTCCAAATAACAGAGTTAACTCAAATCCCCATCATCATTTCTGTCTTTGCAAAAGCACAATCTGTGTTAATTGCACCTAGCTATACACTCTCTATAGATAAAAGTTGTTCAGAAAAATTACTAGTGTAAGAAAGATGCAAATAAGTATGTGAGAACAAACTTATTTCAAGGATTTGAGAACATTAGTTTGAAATCACCGGAGTCTGCTAATTGGGAACACTCTTAATGGATGTGTTAAAACAGGCCCTGTAGAATCTCCTGCCTTGAAATATCCTATCATCCCTAAACTCCGTTCTCAAACAGCTTCATGGGTAATAATGTGTGGGGCTTTGCCAGGCCACCTGAACTACGATGAACTTCAATGTTCTCATCTGAGAAATGAAGGTAACAGTATCTGCTCTCTCTCCACCAAGTCTGGGTATTAAAGGGGTCACAGGTCTGAAAACACAGAGAAACATGCTACAAAATGTGAGATAGTACAATCATTAATAATAAAACAGAATTTATGGAATTATTCTTTAATCCAGACTTCTCACTTAAGCAGGCTGGCTCTCCTATAATTCATTACTGGGAAATTAGCAATGCCTTCATTACACAGTGTGTGAAATCCCAAGTGATTAGGGCATCTGTGAGCAAAACCCAACAGACATCTATTAATGGGGTAATAAAAAACCAAGAGCCATGTTTAAACAGTTCCTGGGAGGGCCTCAACTCTGCGTTATATCCCAAAGCAGCACAATACAACTTTGAGGCAAGGCACTGTGGTGATTAAGAAAAAGAGCACCAGAAGCAGACTGCCCAGGGTTCAAATCCTGGCTTGTCCACTTATTGGCTGTGTGACCTTGAGTAAGTTACTGAAATCCTCTGAGCATCTGTTTCTCCATCTGAAACATGGGGATAATAATGGTGTAAACAGGATGAAATGTGTGTGTATGTGAAAGTAATATTTAATCATCATCTAGGGCTCCTATGAGGATTAAGTAAGTAAAATTCATGTTCAGTTATTTAGCTAAGTGCTACATAGGAAGAGCTTAATCAATATTAGTTATTCCTGTCAAATGAAATAGACATCAATAATTCTTTTCAAGAACATTTATGGATGAAACTCCACCTCCCCCACTTGAATTCAATCAGAATTTGATATTATCAGAAGCCCCTACTTTAGCAACTACTTTAGTTAAGGAATGCAGGGAGCCTCTGGACTTATTAGACCTCGTGCTGTGATCCAACCTATCAAATCTTACCATTGTGTCTCAGAACAGGATGGAGTTGTATTGTCAAATTCATCAAAGCTTCCTTACTTTAAGATGCCTCTAGCTCTGCCATACAAGTCCTTGGGCAAACGGTTAACACACTTAGATGCTAACCAAAAGGTAAGAGGTTCGAACTACCCACACGTGCCTTGCAAGAAAGCCTTGGTGATCTACTTGCAAAAAATCAGCCACTGAAAACCCTGTGAGCACAGTTCTGCTCTGATACACATGCAATTGCCATGGTTCCTCTAATTCCCTAGGGAATTCCCTCTGGGAAGTATGGTCACCCTTCCTCTCCTCTGAGACAGTCATGCTCTAATCCGTGCAAAATCACCGACATTCTGATGCCAGGATCTGGGATGTGTTTCTGAAATAGTGTTTTGCTATGGGAAACAATGTCTTCTTTTCCCTCCCCTACCTTGGTGCTACACGAAACAGACTGGATGACTTGATAATGCTCCTGGAATACTGAGCTACCTGTTGTTCCCACAACCTATTAGTAACTAATTGATTCAACTTCAGAAATATTTCTTTGAGCTGACCTTTTCTCCCCAGATCCACTGTTACACTGTTTTCTGTCCTGGTCTTGTTGCTTCTATTCATCTTCTTTGCAGGTCTTCCTTTGAAAAGCTTCCAAAGTTATTATCCTTAAAACCATATCTGGTCATGTCACTTCCTCATGAACAATGTCTGATGGCACATAAACTCTTTGACAAGGCATTCAAGGCCCTTCACAATCTGGCTGTACCCACCTGCCCAGCCTCATCTCCTGTTGGCCCCTTTGCTACTGAACCCTAATGCTCCATTTTGTGATTCACTTCAATTCCAACAATAGTTATTGAGTATCGTGTTTGGTGCTGAAAATGTAAAAATGAATAAAATAAAGATGAATAACAAATAGTCCCTTACCCTTAAGGGGCTCACAGTTTTAACCTTAACTGATATTATCAGTATAGAACTGAACATTACATAAATTATGTCATTTAATCCTCACTGTAGTTCAAGGGGAGCTCTGGTAGCATAGTGCCTAAGGCATTTGACTGCTAACCAGAAGGCTGGTGGTTCAAACCTACAAGCTACTCCTCGGAAAGAAAATGGGGCAATCTACTTCTGTAGTGATACTGACTTGGAAACCCAAGGAGGGGTCACTATGAGTCGAAATTGGCTTGATGGCAGATTTGGCCCCTTACGCTGGGTACTTCAAGTGGCTAGGCTAGTGCTGATGGGTGTGTAGAAAGAGAGACATTAAGGAATGACAAGCTTAAAAGGTGGTCATTGTTATTAGGTTAATAACAATCACTGCATGTTTGGTACTTAAAATTCACAAAACATTGACACCTCATTTCATCCTCACAACAACCCTATGAGGTAACAGGAAAAAAAAATCACCTTTTATAGATATGAAAACAAGCTCAGAGAGGTTCAGTGATCTGTCCAAGGTCACACAGCTAAGTGGTGACTGGTCTCTCAGTTTTTGACTCCCAGGGCAGTGGCCTTTCAACTTCCAACTTGAAAATTACCTGAGATGAATTAGTTTCCATTGGAAGCACACTAGTGACCCTCAGCAACAGGAAAAAAAAAAAACAAAAAACATTATGAAGTGTGTATATTTACTTCAGTGGGATTTTATAAAATTATCAAATCAAAGTTATCTCTAATAATTGCAAAGGTAGAGATGTTACCCAGAACTTTCAGGAAAAAAGCATGTGTTCACAAATAGGCCAACTTAGATATAATATTTACTATGTGCCAGACACAGTTCAAAGCAATTTACAGATGTTAACTAAATCCTCACAGCAACCTATAAGTGAGTACTATTATCTCCACTTTACTGATGGGAAAACTGAGGCACAGTGAGGTTACATAACTTGCCCAAGGTTATACCGATAGTATGTGAGAGAGATGAAATGGTTGGCTGTTCTTGGGGGTGACTGATCCCACTACGCTTTCATGTCAACCCTTGCAAGCCCTCCAAGCTCCATCCTACACTGGGCATTGGCTCTAATTATCTCCTACAGTTGCCTGTTCCAGGTGCCATGTTCTCTTCAATTATATGAAGGGAACAACTAGAAAAAGGCCACGAATCCAATGACAAAGAGTACAGAGAAGTGAACTAGGAAGAAAGGAGGTGGAACAGGCATGGCTTCTGGCCCTCCCACATGTACCATTTTCTCAATATTCTACCTGCAGAAGCCTAGCTGGCAACAGTGGTAAGAGGGTTATGTGCATAGTACCTTGTCTCTGAAGAAGGGTGCAGGCATCCACGCCCTGGCCTCAGCTCCCAGAGAAGCACACTCACCTCTTCTGCTTAGCATGTTAAATTAATTATTGTGTCTCAGCAAGGATCCCTAGGAATGTCCTCGGTCACTGCAGCCTGCATTCTAAAGATGCAGTGATGTCCCTGGGACCATCCTTCTAGTCTATGGATTGGTGGTGAAGGCTAACTTTCTCATTCAGCCTCATCCCCCAGCATTAATTGAATTCTGCTCACACACAGAAGATTGTGAGAAGTGATGCAGGCAGCTCTCTCCTCCCTCCAACACTGCAGTGTCCCTTGGTTGCAACAGCAGAAGGACTGCAGTAAGTTCCACCCTGCTGGTTTCCCTTGATAAAAGGGCTTTGGAAATCAAAGTGCGTAGCCCAGCCTCATGAACAAGAGAGCAACCACCACCACCACCACCACATCACCAGAGGCAGCAGAAGCAGCAGAAGCAGCAGTAGCAGCAGCACACAAGTGAATTTAATCTTTTTGTGGAATGTAAAAATGCCTGATTTTCAGCATCAGCCAGATATCTCACAAAGCACAACACATTGGGTAGCAACATAAAAGGGACTATGACAACCACAAGCATTCACTGGTTCCAGCTGCAGACAGCTCTGCAGCTGATGATATGTGGAAATCGTGTGCTGCCCAACTCAGCTTGGCAAATTAATACAATTTTGGCTTAATCTATAACACAAAGATGCCATTTACAACCTCAGTGAGGCATGTTTTGCATTCCTGGGCTCCAATGCAATTAGATTACGGTAATTACCGTTACGTCTGAAAGGCTTACGTTGTAACTAAGCGAAGATGGAAATGAAATGTCCCTTCTTGGAGCAGTTTCATTTTTCCATGCTTGGGTAATTTCCAACACACACTTTTTACCGATATCACGCTGGATCTGGGAAGCGGGTGCCTTTGTTTGATAACAGAGACAGAACAACTTTCCTTGGGGTTTGGGTATTCAGAACACAGTATCTAATCAAGCTGCAGCTTCACAACAGGTGTATTAGTTTAGTAAACAATGAACTTCCTTTGATTTCTTTTGCTTAAACGAAGTGTGATCATCCAGAAAGAGCCAGGCGTGTAGTGTGACTCCCAGCAGGGACAATCTCCATGGCTGATGTGTAATCCAATACATGAAGTGCCAAATGTAATTCACTGTTTCATTCCTGCACAGATAGACCAGGCTCTGATGTTCAGAGCTGGAAAGGGGTTCTACCTGCAAGTCTCAAGTTCCCAAAGAGCCCAGAGACCAGACATGTGCCCCAGTCACCCCTCTGCTGCTCATTATATGACTCTGGACCAGTCCCTCAGTCTCTCTTTCTCTTAGGTTTCTCAGCAGTAAAATGAGAATAATAAAACCTACCCTGCCTATGACTGACCTCACTGGCTGCTGTGATGAGCAAATGAGGTGATGAACCTAGAAATGCCCAGCATTATTTAAACGTGGGGTATTATAGGCTATTATATTTCCCTCAGGGGATATCATGAAGGGAGTGATGTGACCGGAAAATTAGTCTTCAGAGTCTCCTCATTGCATGCCCCTCCCATTCACTGGAGGCGGAAGGTGTAGACAGGTGGAAGCACTGGAGGGGCTCTAGCCAAGCCACAGAACTGGAGTTTGACAGCTACCCGGCCAAGGTTCTGCAGGTTGTCCACCACGGCAGCCTTTGAAGGTAAGTCACCCCAGCCAGTGGAAGAAGGACTGTTTTGAAGATCTCATTTACCCAGAACAGCCCTGCATTGTGAGCCAAGGGACCTGGTTCTATATAATCAGTTCTGCTACTTACTAACTGTGCAGTCTTGAAGGAGTCACTTCTCCTCATGTACACAAAGAGGGAGCCTAAGGTCCCTAAGGGGTCATGTAGTTCAGTGGTAGAACTCTTGCCTTCCATGCAGGAACCCTGGGAACATACCTCATGTGCAAACACCGCCCATCTGTCAGTGGGGGCTTGTGTATTGCTATAATGCTGAATAGATTTCAGCCGAGCTTCCAGACTAAGATGGACTAAGAAGAAAGGACTGGAGGTCTATTTTCAAAACCAGCCAATGAAAACCCTATGGATCACAAATGGTGTGAACTGCAACTGACCATGAGGATGGAGCTGGATCAGGCAGTATTTGGTTCTATTGTGTATGGGGACACCATGAGTCAGGGGCTGACTCAACGACAGCTAACAACAGCAATAACAAGGCCCCTTTCAGATAGATCTAGTTCCTACATTTTTGTGCCTCAGCTCTCCATCTGTAAAATAATGGTACCTCCTCAAAGGGTAGCTGTAAGGATTAAGTGAGTTGCTACATGGAAAGCTGTTAGAAATATTGATGGCAGAGTGAGTATTAGATAAGCATTAGCTATCATGTTTTGATTATAAACATTAAAGTCTCCTTCAAAATGAGGGCTTGTAAGGATGGCTTTGATGGTACTCGCAATGGCCTCAGGAACCAGTGGGGAAAGACAGGTGGAACAGTGCACACCTGCATTCCTGCTCCCCTTTCCTACTGCTTCTGTGTACCTTTGCTCTCTGAGGCAGGTTCATCATGGTGTCTGGCTTGAAGTCGTTCTTGTTCTTCCTGCAGAGCACGGCAGTGATGATGATGATGATCACTGTGACCACGGCGATGGGCGCCAGCACCGCAGCAATGATCCACAGATTGTTGGGTGGATTCTTCACGACAGCTGCAGGAAAGAGCAAGCAGGAAGCATGTGACAAGAAGCACTGAGAAAAGGAAGAGGAAAGTGACCCCAAGATAAATCCCTCCCAACCTCAAGTCATGAAATGGGAGGGTGTGGAAGTTAGGGGGGCTTGGGGTCAGAATGGCTCTGCCTCTGCAGCTGTGTGACCCTGGATGTACTCAAGGCCCAGTTTCTTCATCTGTAAAATGGGGCTATCACTTTGTGAGAAATCAGTTAGACAAAGTACATGTGGTGCTTTGGTACAGTGTGTGTTCCCATGAGGTGCTCAATAAATGCTAGTCTTCATTATTGTTAAGAGAAGGAGAAGAAAGATATGTCATTGCCAATTTTCTCCACTGGTGACATCCACGAGCCAGAGGAGAAGAAGAGAGAAGAAATCTAATGATTAGAAGTAGGTGGTAGAATTAGAGAGATGCACATCAAAGCAATGAGATATCATCCCACTCCAGCCACAACATCAAAGTTCAAAAACAGAAAACAACATATGCTGGTAAGGGTGTGGAGAGGTTGGAATTCTCTTACAGTATTGGTCAGATTGTAAAATAGTACAACCACTAAGAAAAATGGTATGGTGCTTCCTTAAAAAGTTGGAAATAGAAATACCATATGATCCTGCAATTCCACTGCTAGGTATATATGCTAGAGAAATAAGAGGTGGGACATGAACAGATACATGCGCACCCATGTTCATTGCAGCATTATTCACAGTAGCAAAAAGATGGAAATGACCTAAGTACCTGTCATCGGATAAATGGATAAATAAACTATAGTACATATACACAACAGAATACTAGGCAACATTAAATAATAATGAAGAATCTGCAAACCCCCTCATAACATGGATGACCCTGGAAGACATAATGCTGAGTGAAATGTCAGTCACAAAAGATAAATATTGTATGAGACCACTATTATAAAAAGTCAACAAAAGGTTTACACACAGAAAGAAGCATTCTTTGATGGTTACAGGGATGGGGGGAGGGAGAGTTAAATCACTAACTTGAGAGTAGACAAGTACTAAGGGGAGTGAAGGGAAAGGCAGTATACAGTAAGGGAGAGGGCAGCACAAAATAACCAATGGCAAAGAAAATCACTGGGAGGCACACGAGAGACAACAAAGACAACAAAGGCCAATACTGTTATACACATAATTCTGAAATAGCAGTACTAACAAACATCTGTGAATAGATACATAGGTGCACACGCAAGCTGAACAGATGTGGGAAAGCAAACGGGAGTACATCCACGATATATATAGGCTCAGCAGAGGATATTTCCATGATATTTATATGTACAAGAATATATATATACCAAAAACCAAACCCACTGCTAGCGAATTGATTCCAACTCAGAGAGCGACCTCCATTGGTTTTTTTTTTTTTTTTTAATTAAATTTTTATTTTAAGAGCTTGTTTTACATTCAACACTACATGCACATCAGTTTTACTCCCCATTCACCATGTTCAACCCCAACCCAGTCTCCTCCCCTCCCTACCCTGCAACCTTCCCCCTGTGCCTCTCATATTCATGAACTCCTGTCTGTCTCGCATTTCCTCAATTTGAATGTTGGTCCTCTGGTGTCCTGTGTCCATTGCTCCAACAGATGTATTACCATAGAGTATGTGGGTGTGTCATCCTGGATTGAGTAGTCTGCGTGTACATCTTGTTAACTATTGGGCTGAGAGCCAGCCCCTGGGGGTGAGTTTCATTCCAAGTGCAGAATGTATTCCAGGGCCATGGTATTGGGGGTCTCACCAGACTTCATCTGATCAGTAATTCTGGTCATTATTGAGTTTTTGGATTTTGTTCCACGTTTTCCCTCCCACTCTATCCAGGATCTCCAGATTTGATCCTTTCCTGAGTGGTTGGCATTAGTAGCTGGGCACCATCTAGTTCTTCTGGTCTCGAGGGCCATTGTGTCCTATGGTTGATTGCTTCCAAATGCCCCCCATCTTTTTTTTTTTTTTTGCATTTTCTTCACTTCTGATGCTAGGAGACTGTTAGCTGCATCCTAGATAGCCGCTTGAAAGCTTTTAAGACCCCAGGCACTACTCACCAATGTAGGATGCGGAGCAAGGATTTCGTGTCTTTTGCTGTGCCAATTGAGTCTGGTGTCCCCCAGTACTATGGTCCTGAGACGGTAGATGTATCAGATCTCTCTCCCACAGTGTCTGGGTGTCTGTGTGGGATTACTCTGTGTCTGTCCTCTATTGTTTCTGTAAGGACTGCAGGTATTTTGCATCACTGGTGTCTGTGCAAGATTAGCCTCAGGTGAATCTATCCTTAGTCTAGAGTATACTCCTGTTCACTGACCCTCATCTGATCCTCTCAGATGTTTATGTGTTTATCTGTAGCCTGATGTTTGGTGTTAATGGCAATGCAGTATTGTGGACACACTGGTTGGTATTAGCGTCTGTTGCCTATCTCTTCTCGAAAGGAAGGTTGGGCAATCCTACTTCCATAGTGATACTGCCTTGGAAACCCAAGGAGGGGTCGCTATGAGTCGGGGCCGACTCGACGGCAAACAACAACAACAACAACAGCCTATCTCTTATGTGCACAATTCGGTGTCCTCCCACTTCCTAATGTTATCATAGTGGTCACAGATCCTTCCCATATATCCCTCCCCCTCCCCACGTTAGCGTGAGGGCCCCAACTAGCCCAAAATTAATCCCTCCCCTTCCCTCCCCATCCCAATAACCTACAAAGTGAGTTCTCTTTCCCAAGCAAACCCTTCTCTGTCTTTTTAGTAATGGGCTCATACAGTACTTGTCTTTCTGTGATTGACTTATTTCACTCAGCGTAATCTCCTCCAGGTTCATCCACATTGTGAGATGATTCGCGTATCCCTCATTGTTCTTCAGTGTAGCACAGTATTCCATTGTGTGCATGTACCATAATTTGGTTATCCACTCATCTATTGATGGGCATTTAGGTTGTTTCCATCTCTTTGCTATAGTGAATTGTGCTGTGATGAACTTAAGTGTACATATGGCTGTTCATGCACTATTTCTCACCTCTTTAGGATATATTCCTAGTAACCCCATTGGGTTTCCAAGTCTATGAATCTTTAGGGAAGTAGATTGCCTCATCTTCCATCCATGGAGCAGCTGGTGGGGACCTTCTGGTTAGCAACCAAATACTTTACCCACTACATCACCAGAGCTCCACATATATATGTAAAACTCACTGCCATTGAGTCATTTCCAACTCATAGTGACCTCCATTTGGTTCAACTCATAGTGACCCTCATTGGGTTTCTGAGGCTATAAATCTTTAGGGAAGTAGATTGTCCCATCTTCCTTCCACAGAGCAGCTGGTAGGTTTGAACCACTGACCTTCCAGTTAGCAGTCAAGTGCCATATCCACTATGCCACCAGAGTTCCATATATGTACATACATACATATACATGCATATAAAAAAACCAAAACTCATTGCTGTCAAGTCAGATCCAACTCATAGTGACCCCTCCTTGGATTTCTGAGGCAGTGTCACTACAGAAGTAGATTGCCCAATCTTCCTTCCGAAGATATTATATACTATAGATATTGTATATATTAGATATATATCTCCAAGGATATTGTAGAGCATATAGGGGGCAGAGTTCTAAAACCTTCTTAGCTATAACCAAACACTTTGAGGGAATGAGTCAGTGGGCTTGAGAACTGAGGACCACAGTCTCAGGGGATGACTAGGTTAGTTGGCATAATATAATCAAAGACAGTGTTCTACATCCTATTTCAATGAGTAGTGACTGAGGTCTTCAAAGCTTGTAAGTGGCTATCTAGCATACATCTTATCCAGAGCAAGGAAGAATGAAGAAAATCAAAGGCTCAAGGAAGCAATTAATCCAAAGGACTAATGAAACACAGGAACCACAACCTCCACTACCTGGAGACAGAACTACATGGGACCCACCACTGCTGACGACTGTCAGGGATCAAAATAGGAGGTCCTGGACAGAGAAGGAGAGGGATAAAAGGAAGTAGAATAAAATTCAAAAGCACAGAAAAGACCAGACATACTGGTCTGACAGAAACTATGGAACCTCTGAGACTGTGGCCCTTAGATACCCTTCAAGCCTGGAAGTGAACCCACCCTCCAGGAATCAACTTTCAGCCAAACAATAGATGGGCCTATAAAGTGAATAATAACACCAGGGAGGAATGTACCCCTCAGTACAATCAACCACATGAGACCAAAAGGGCAGCATTTGCTCAAAACAATGCACAGAAGGCAGGAAAGGGCAGGAAAGAAGTCTGAATGGAAACAGGGAACCCAGGGCAGAAGGGGAAAGGATGCTGTTACATTGAGGGGATTACAACCAATGTCACAAAAAAAATGTGTATAATTTTTTCCACGGAAAACTAATTTTCTCTGTAAACTTTCACCCTAACTACAACAATAATAATAAAAAGTAGGTGGTAGCGTCAGGATGCACAGGCCACAGAGAAATGACCCTCTAAGAAAGTAATTAATAAAATACAAAATGAGTGGAGGAATCTCCCCCCAGAATAGCTGGCAAGGGAATGCCTGAGTGTAATCAAAAGGACCAGGCTGTCCTCAGAACCAGAGTAAGGAAATGTGTAACTGAAGTGATGCCAGTGGGAAGGATGTGTTATTAGGATAATAGGTGCCTCTAGAGGTGGAACTGGGATACCTGGAAGGGGAAACAGGGTGATGGTCATACTCTGTATCATAGCAGGAATGTGGGTTACACAGGTGGATGAATTTGTCAAAATTCATCAAATGTTTTCCTGAAGATCTGTGCATTTCACTGTATGTCAATTTTACCTAAAAATGTCGTAAACAAATATTGAACTCCAGTTAATGATATGCATGCTCAAGTGTTTAGGGTTGAAGTATACTGATGTCTGTAACTTATTCTGAAATGCATCCAAAAAAGTAAGATGGATGGATGGTGGGATGGAGTATGCGATAATGGAAATACAGTAAAATATTGACTGTGGAATCTAGATAG